TGCTTTGCTTGTGTGCACAGCTTTTGCTTTACCTATTAAACTGTCTTTATCTCAACCCACAACTTTTCTCACTTTTATTCTTCTGATTCCCTCATCCCACAAGGGTTGTATGGTGTTTAGTTGACCGCTGAGACCACTGTGGCAGTCTCAGCATAGTGCCATCATTTTAATACACAAAAAAAAACCCCAAAAAACAAACAAACCATGAACCCTGCTTTTGGGTAAGAATTCCTTGGAAGGAGTGCAAAAATCAACCAAATCTTCAGCTGAGAATCTTGGTGGCCACAGTGATTAGATGAAGTTCAGTTTTAAGAAATGTGTGTCTTTGTAATAAGAGCCAATTTCAAATGATGCAAATTACAGAAACATTCAGCATACAGAAGCAGACAGATAAGGAGTGACTAGTTCAACAGATCACATTCACCTACAACAGTTCCTGTTGAATTCATGGAAAGTTAACCGGCTACATGTTTACCTTCCTAGTTGCTGAGTGCAAGTTAGAAAACAGACAACATTAGCTCATCTTTAGGAAAAAAAAAAAAGGTCTCTCACATGTTTTCCTTGTGGAACAGAATCTGAATTTCTGAAAGAACAGGAATGTTTACTGATTCTGGGACAGATATGCCAGAGGAGAGGAATCAAGTTAATTTATATGTAATTCATGTCAATGACTCCACCTCAAAAGCTACTCCAGATGGTATCCTAATTAACCCCATCCTTTTCTGAGCTGGAAAAGCCTGCTCTTCACATGTCAATATTTCTTCCTGATACCTTGATGCTGGCCAAAGCAAACAAGACCCACCTGTCCAGAGGGTTTCTGGTTAGACGGAGAGAAAAACAAGTCCTTAATAGATTCTATTGATGCAAAGCATCAGATGAAGGTAGAAAAATACTGTATGGAAGCAAGTGTGATCCAAACCTTATGGCTGAGTTTAGTAAGACCTATAACAACTTTAAGGAACTTCAAATCTGAGTAAAATCAAGACACCATTCCTAGTTACACTGAATCAGTGCAGATATATTGAGTGATAGGCAGAATGACCATGACCTGAGTTTGAATTGCAAAAGTTATACATTTCTAATTAACCAAGAAACAAGTTATAACCCCATCTCATTCAGACAGCGTTTGCAATGTCACCATCAGGATAGGAAAGCTATAAAAGAGAAATAACTTGCACAGGTCAATAAAGACAGCAGCAATTCTTCAGTCTGACCTCGGTTCCAGGGAAGGTTATGGAGCAGATCATCCTGAATGCCATTATGCAGTATACACGGGACAACCAGGCAATTAGGTCCAGTCAGCATGTGTCCATGAAAGGCAGGTCCTGCTTGATGAACCTGATCTCCTTCTACAACAAGATGATCCACCTAGTGGATGAGGGAAAGGCTGTGGATGCTGTCTACTTGGACTTCAGTAAAGCCTTTGACACCGCTTTGCACAGCATTCTCATGAGAAAATTGGCTGCTCATGGCTTAGACAGGCATATGCTCTGCTGGGTAAAACACTGGTTGGATGACCGGGCCCAAAGAGTGGTGATGAAAGGAGTTAAATCCAGTTGGCAGCTGGTCACAAGTGTTGTGCCCCAGGGGTTCAAGCAATAGGATAAGAGGAAATGATCTTAAGTTGTGCCAGGGGAACTTGAGTTTGGATATTAGGAAAATTTCTTCACAG